GAATATTTTTGTTATCAGACTCGCATACCTCACTAGGGCTATTGCCTAGTGGTCGTGTACATGAAGAGGCTCCATGTGAACTTGAAGAGGAAACCGCCAAAGATTGTCGAATCGCCTCCAAGTTCCCTTGATGTGCTTCAAATAATTTTTAAATTGTATAAGCACTATAAAAATGAGCAAGTTCGTTAGAAATACATGGACCTAAAGCATTATGCATAACTTCTAACACTAACTTGTTCATGGTAAACATTTTCTTGTCATGTTTGCATCACTTGGATTTCTCCGAAGTGGGCACAATATAAGCATTGTTAATAACTTCCCATAAATTTATATTTCTAGATTCAACAAAAATTTTGAATCTACAACACCATTGTTCATAAGGAAAGTCACCATATCTAGAAGCAACATTTATATTGTAGCCTACACCGAACATATCCATAATATATGAGCAAGCGAATTAAATAATATCAAAACAAGATTAGTAATAATATTAAAGCTTGGATCGTTAACTCAAGGCGGTTAAACCTTAAATCAATAGTACTAAGCTCTGATACCAATTGAAAGTACCCTAGAGGGGGGTAAATAGGTTTATTGCTAATCTTATTAGATATTAATACCGATTAAAACTTATTAACAAAGTATTCTTGCAAGATAGATATACAATGTGATATGAGTAAAAATAAGCAATATAAAAAAGTATAATATCCTAACAATGAGATACACAATGAGATATATGCAAGGATAAGAAAAAAAAATGTGATAGAGCAATATAAACAATGAGCAATGGCGAATAAAATAGACTAAGCAGTAGACACAAATGATACGCCAATGCAAACTCTAGTACATAAAGATGATCACAGAGTTCGGACCTTCCGTCCTACGTCTTTGCTCCTCACTCTAGGGGAGAAATCCACTATCACAACTGGGTTTTTTACGCTCACCCGAATAACGTTTACACCTCACAATTTGGTTTTCTAGTTCACCGAAAACTTTACAACTACACACTTGTAATCTCACTCTACACCTTCTAAGTGTTTGTCTCTAGCTCGTGTCTTCCTCAAGTGATCGGATTTACAACCTCTCCCTAGGCTTTACTACGGATGTCACTCCTTTTGGGATGATCTCGTCTCTCACCACACACTACTCTCGGTGTACAAGTGTGATACAACGTGTAACTCACAATAAAGCTCAATTACAATAAAATATTCTCTACAAGTGTGATACAACGTGTAACTCACAATAAAGCTCAATTACAATAAAATATTCTCTAATTGGATGAGAAATCAATGTAAACTTAATCTTAAAAATCACAAACCCACAACCCAATATATGATGTATGAAATGCTATAAGCTCAAATAGGGTGTGTGTGATAAAATGAGTATAAATAAAATCTAACTCAATTAGCAAACTAGCAATAATAAAAATATAAAAATCAATAATAAAATTGCTAGAGAAAAGAGTTAGAAAAACTTCTCTATAAACACAAAAAGGTTGAAGAAGATTGATGATGAATTCCTCAATTAAAAATGCAAGCCTCCTTATTGTAAACTCAAACTTAGAAACTTAAACAAACTTTAAAACACTTTAAACTCCTCTGTAAAACCCTCTTCGAAAACTTGTTCTGATGAGAACAATAGGGGTTTATATAGGAAGAAAAATCAAGGCACAAAACCCAAACAAATCTAGCAAAAAGACAAAAAAATAAAAGGCTGTAAAAACTAGTCGTTGGATCGTCAGTCGACTGACGGGTTTCATCAGTCGACTGATGAGCTGACTGTTGTAGGTATTTACCAGCTCATCAGTCGACCAAAACGAAACATAAACATTTTGATGATTCCAAGAACATTCTTCAGTCGACTAATCAGCCGACTGATGTCATCAGTCGACTGATAACAACTTTTCAGCATGTATTGAATAGTAAAAACCAACTTTGAAGAGCTTTAAAAAATAGCAAATAAATTCTAAAAAATATAAAACTTTGTGAAAAGTTTATAATCATGAATATGAACATGTTGGAAAAAGAATTTTTTTAAATGCTTTTACCTTTTGTGAAAACATAGAAATATACAAAAGTGCTAAAATACATGTTTTTCAAATATGTTGTTTTTGCTATTTTAGCTCAAATCAAGTTCTGAAAACTTTGTGTAATCGTTTTATGGACATAATAAAAGATGTTAGCATGGTTTGTATAGTCCAAAACATATTTGAAGCCTCGCTGGCAACTTCATTAGCGTTACCTCCAGGGGCTGAAACTACAATCTCGGTTACAGGACGCGAGTTATACTGCTTCAAGATTCCTATGGAGGAAAGCTCCGATGAGACGATGACAGGGGAAGTCTGTACAACCTCGATGGAGTTTGAAGCTAGAGATTGGCGATTCCCGTATATCGACTATGCCATATACGGAATATTGCCTGATGACCCTAAGGAAGCGGCCACTATCAAACGAAAGGCCCTCCAGTTCTATTATGATGCGGTTTCTCGAACCCTATATCGTAAATCACACGACGGAGTTTTGCTTCGATGTCTCTCTCGAAAGGAAGCGAATGAGGCCCTTAAGGAAGCTCACGACGGAAAGTGCGGGGCTCATCAGCCCGGAGCTAAATTAGGAGATCGTCTTCGACGGATTGGCTATTATTGGCCAAAGAAAATTCACAAATGTAATGTGTGTGTATATTTGAGCTTATAGAATTAACACACATTATATAAAACCTAATTACCCAAGCTTGTCTTGGTAAACATGGAAGAAGTTTGAACTTGGATCTTGACTAGTATGCATAGGCTTCACTCCGATATTCCACCAACCTCCATTTGATGTGATCGTAAATGCTCAATCCATCCAATCTCCAACATATTGTTTATCTAGAATACCTAATAAGAAAACATAAACACTAGGAAAACAATATTAGGAATTATTTGTAATCATCAAAACAAAATTAGAAGATGTAAGCTCATAACATGAGACCTAACACTTCTCTGTTCGAATTTGTGCTTTATGTGATAGTCACGGGGTGATATGCAGAGGCTTCTCGCCTGTTGGACTATGTTATCGCCCTCCCGCCTTTGATCAAGAAAGGCATGGTGATCCTACAAGAGTGATATGTTGAGTAAACTCTAAATTTGTTGTTTATATTCCTAGAAAGCATGCTAGGGTTTTTAATATTCTGCTATACATAATCTAGTTGCAGATTATCCCTATTGGATGGGTGTACTTATACTGATCCCATAGTAATGATATAAAAAATTATTAAATGCAAATACAAGAAGGGAAACCCATTATGAGATCCAAATCCTAATACATAAATTAAAGAAATCATATCCATCCGTGTAAGCACTGGCGTAGCACTGGTACAAGTCAATTCTTGAATTAGCAGACTTAATAATAACATAGTGAACTAGACATTTTAATGTACCACTAGATCTTGCTGCACTGCATCTCACAGTTACATAAACTATGAGGTGATCAGCCTTTCACAGAAACTACCTGCCTCATGATCACAGTCTAGGCTTGTCTGCTAGTTCCCCCTATTGCTTCGATGTAAAGAAGTCACTTTGTCATTCGTTTACAGCCTTGAACCCCTAATTAAAAAATGTTTTGTTGGTGAGAGGTTTGTCGACAAAAGGACAAAGTGTGACTCGAAATGTGGCCCCACTCTCCCTATACATCTGCTTCAAAGGTTACCTTAAGCATGTACCATGTGCTCTTACCAATAAACTAGTACCTTAAACTGGAGCACTACTAGAGAGAGTCTTTTTCTAATTACATTTTTTTTAATTTGAAGAAAAAATATAGGAAAATTATAGAACAATAAAGAAAAAATTAGCGAACAGCATAGAAGTTGCTTTATTTCACATGAACATTTAAAATCTAGCATTTTGTTTTAAATAGATTCTTCTACCTAAGTTTCTCTCTTCATTACTTCAAACTTCGTTAGTTTAGGTGGAGAGATCACCCAAATATAGTGCTTGAATATGAATGGTGAGCTCAAAGTGCAGGCCAAAAGAAGACCTTTTCCTAATGAGATAGATGTATTTCAAATGCTTTAAGTGCTAGTGCTCAGTTATAAAAGAAAAAATGCTGAGCTCAATTGTCATGGCAGCCAACAGAAATTTAGCTGGTTAATTAATTGCATAATGAATGTGATAGGTAGTTGTCAGCTTGTCGTCATCCGGCTTAATTATAGATCATCCCTGTCATCTTATTCAGAAACGACGAATTAGATCACGCCCATCTTTTTAAGAGAGAAAAAAAAATCATAATATTAACGAATGCAAGCATTTTCTTTATAGGTTAAAATCTTCATTAACAGTATTTGAAGCTCATGTTTAATTATAATTTGATAGTACTTCTATGCGAATATTTAGACAGGTCACATGTATGGTTCTCGGCCACCATCTCATGTCAAGAATCTAGTCTACAAATTATTAGAAGAAATTAACGTACATCATAAGTATGCGACAAATGTTGAGGTTGGTTATTTTTAGAAGTGCTCAAGAGTCTTTTTTTTTTTTTTTTTTTTTTTTTTAATGTTTTTTTTTTTTTTTTTTTTTTTTTTTGAACTGAAAAGTGTTCAAGAGTTTTGACGTATGAACAGGAGAAATATTTAACAATATGTGACTAAATTTTAGGTAGTGCTTATAATTTTACAAAGATCACATCCAATAATGTAAACCTCGAGAATATCTATACTACAGGTACTTCTGAAAATAGTCTTAACTTAAAAGAAGTTGCAACTTATATACATAAGTGAGAGAGAGGAAACAATGTAGGAATTGGGAACTGAGCCCACATGGAGGCCAGCAACAATCTTGAACAAGGGCCACTGTTGGTGAGGATTTCTGGTTCTGGTCACAGTCATAATTAATAGGACTAACTAAGATCATGACCCAACCAAATGTTGGCTTCTTTCAGTACTGCTTACCATCAAAATGCATCATATTTTATCTCGATGTTCTTTCTTTCATCAGTAGAGCAAGGAATGAGAGCCCACATGTCACTAAAAGAAAAGGTTTTAGAGTCCCTTTAACTAACAAGAATTACCTGTCAACAGAGTCGACGAGAGCTTTATATATGCCGACTTCTCTTATGGGACCATACCATTTCATTTTTTTCATCCTCCTTCATATAGCATGGATGGTTCAGACCATCACTCAGTTCTCAACTTCCTCAATCCAGATGAATCCATAGGGAGGCCCAATATCTTCAATGGAACAGTTCTTAAACCAAACTTCTCAATGTTCCCTCATGAAGATCCTCGCGTTGATCCATCAAACCTGCAAATGGATCTGCAAATGTACCAGAAACTACAAGAACCTGATTTCTCCGACTGGCTTCAACTCAGCAATCATCTCAAGTCCGATAATCCAATTTCGCCTGCTAAACTGAAAATTCTTGAAATAAATAGCAATGTTGTCAATAACCGAATTAATCATCAGCAGCAACAGCAATCGACGAAGCTGTATCGAGGAGTGAGGCAAAGACACTGGGGGAAGTGGGTGGCAGAGATAAGACTACCAAGAAACCGAACGAGAGTGTGGCTTGGGACTTTCGATACTGCAGAGGATGCGGCGATGGCCTATGACATGGCGGCGTACAAATTGAGGGGTGAGTTTGCGCAGCTCAATTTCCCGCATCTCAAGCACAAACTTCACGAAGCGGTAGCTCGTGGGTCCCAGTCACCAACGATTTCACTTCTTGAAGCCAAGTTGAAGTCTTTTCAAGAATCGGCTACGTCGTCTTCGTCAAGTGAGAAGGATTTGTTGCAGAACGTTGGAAGAGAGCCAACGCCGGTGGCTAAGAAGCAAAGGAGGAGTGAGGAAGAGATTATTAAGAAGGAAGTCGAGTGTTTAAGTAATAAGTTTGAAGGGAAGCAGATGACTTCAGCAGGGGAGATTGATGAGGTTCTGCTTAGTAGAATTCCCTCCCTTGATATGGATAGTATTTGGGATTCTCTTCATATTGCAACAGCAGACTCATGCAATTACTATTCATATTTGTTTTCTGGTAGTGGTTCGTGATTGGTTTTTGATCATTTAGAGTTGGCTGTAAAAGGATCTAATTTTGATTCTCTCGTGTATGATAACTAGATCTTGGCAGTTAATCTTCACGTTCTTCTTTCTTTCAAATTTTTTGTCTGGAGATTCGAAGTGTGCTGATTGAATTAGTGATACAATTTAGAAGATTTCTGACACAACCATTGGTTAGAAGTTGTTTTCTTTATCTTAGTTTTATTGGTTTGAACAACTTCTAACCAATAGTGTTGAAGTCTCGCTTCTGTCCTACACCAGTTCCTCAACCTGAAGAAACACGAGCATTAGAAAACAAGTGTTTTGTGTCACAGTTCTCCTCATATTTTGTTAGACAAAACACAAAACACGGTTCTCTTCATTTTTTTACTTGTTCGGCAAGAATTGTGAGAGATCTATCAGTTATTGCGAAGGGGTCAAATTTTCAACTCGATCAACATATCTTCATCATGAAGCAACAGTTAAACTAATTCATGTCCTTCAGTGGAATTCAAACAAGGTCATCATATGATGTCTTTAAGATGGATATGTAAACCATACTCAAATGAGGAACAAAGATATGGAACATGGACATATATAATCAGCCTCTGCTTGCAAAGCTTGACATTCAAAGTCTTTCGTGACAAGCGCTGTGTAATATCACACGTCTGTTCTTCAGTTCTATCTGTATGCTAGACAGGTTGTCACAGCCTTGAGAAGAAGTTTTGGTTTAAATATTGTAGTATTACTTCGTTCCACACTGACTTAGAAGAGAAAAGGGATTATGTCGCAAGGAAACACTGTATAATCGTTGTTCTGATTAAAGTCATTTAAAGAAAAGGGATTTTGTAGGACAGGTTTCTTCCTGCTACGCTATCTCAGCATCAGGGAAGGCAAAGTTCATAATATCCCGCTGCAGTTTCTAGCACAAGCAGTGCTTCTATGTAGCTAGGGTACTTCCTCAGCATCAGAGAAAAATCATCGCCATATGAATCCTGACGCAAGCAGTCTATGTAAACCATCCATCCATGATAGTTTACAGATTAAAAGGATGGACTTGTAAAAGCCTCCATCTACCTCGCTCAATTCATAAGATGGCTCTTGACATGAGGATGATCATATACGTTGTATAGTAAATGATGTAGGGATAGATGGCTTGGGCTTCTCATGATGCGAGGAATAGAAGTACGAAACACAACCCTCACCCACCTCAGCATAAGAGAGAGGCTGAGTACCTTTTCTTAGAACACAAGATGCTATGAAGAATTATACTGCTTACTGAAATTGCGATACAACACTACAACTGAACTAGTGACAACTAAAATGTCAGGCAATGATCGACAGCAAGCATGCTCTCATATAAACAGGAGCAACTTCATGTGTAATTCTTCGCTTCTTTCCATCTTTTGTTCATGTATAATAAAAAATCAAGCAACACCATGCTACGGTAATGTCCAGATAGGCAATCGAGGCAATGTGCTATCCTACCAATTCCACCATAGATGATCAACAACCCTAAGACCCTTTTTTGCAGTGTAATACAGCACAAGGACAAACATTCGGTAAACTTCCATGCAAGGCTACCTAATTTTCATATAGCAGATTGCATCAGAACAGTATCTAAAACATGTATTGAGGTAAAGGTTAATTGCTATTAATCTGAACCTGTAATCAAGCTCACAAACTTTCTGCAAACAAGCTATATTAGAATCTAAAAAGAACAACAAAGATCTTACAAGAATGACATGTAATAAACCAATTTAAAGGAGAAATATAGTGCAAAACCCCAGTATAATTTCTTTTAAAGAAACATTGGTTATTATCAGAAAAAGAAGATTATCACAAATCTATTTATCAACAGACCACTATTCCCCTAATTCATATAATCCATGTTTCAAAACACTAAGGCAGAGGCATCTCCATTAGATCTGAGTCATATTGTGTATCGATTTTTAGCCATCCTGTCAAGCTTTTTTGCGTCCTCCTGCAGCAACAGGAATTTCAGTATTTTGTTCTGCAATGATGAAAGCAGGCAAAAAGACAGGGAGAGAGAACATACATGAACTATGAAACCGATGGTTTCATTACAATCCAGTAATTCCTTCCACTGTTTTCCAATGCTAACCTGTATGTGATAAATAATAATCAGTCTTTATCTTAGACAACGAGCAATGTAATATCAGCTAAATAATAAAAAACCCTTCAACCAAGCAACATGAAGAATGCATTTTGAAGAAAACTCGAACATGAGTTTTAGCTGAGTAAGACATACATTAAAAAGGGAACCACAAACTGGAGAAACAAGGTCTATGAAGAGTATACAACCGATGAGAACTGTTACATAAAGATATTATATACAAGAAAGCTGACTTATGAGACACTGAAAATGGATGTAGAAACAGGGAGACGGGGTTATACATGTAAGCGCACAAGTAAAACTTTTTAACTGGCTTATTTACTAACCCTAATTAACATAGAATCATCCAAACATCATGGTTGCGCAAAATTTAAATTGGTGCGACTGCCTAGCCACAACATAAACCTTCAGAGCTAAATCATGACTGCTTTGAGATGTCAACAAAATTATTTTAGAATACCTGTCACTTCCCTAATTACAGAGTAAGCAGAATTACAAGTATCAGTAATTTTTTAAGACAGCCAGCAATCAGCAGCTCTTAGAAGCCAGCTACTTGTCAATTGTGATGTCTACATAGTTATCTAAGAACATGTCGTATTCCTAACTAGTAACCAGGGGCGGATCCACCTTGGCGGAAGTGGTGTCATGTGACACCACTGCCACCAAAGCGTCCCACTATATATTAAGGACCCCATATGATTCATAATGAATGATGATTCCACCACTGCTCAGAGGTGGAAGGGTTGAGCAAAGTAAGGACAAGACGTCTGCGAGCAGCAATTGCAAAGAAGAGGGAGAGGCCTATGCTTGTTTGCTTGGTTCTTCCTGATGAAGAAGATAAAGGAACAAAAAGGATTATTTTCTGTTTTTTTTCACAAGAAATAAAAACGAAGGGTAGGGAGGGTGATGAATAGCTGGAGCTTTTTTTGTCCTATTGCTAAAATGTTGGGGCAACATATCAAAGGTCACTTTTCTTTGAAAGAGTTAGAATTTTTTAGATTATTCTATTTGATTTAGATTGAGAATAAATAAATGAGAGGCTATGATTTGATACAGGATCATAAACTATTTGAATCTTATTTCGGTTTAGATAGAGAACAAATGAAAGAAAGGGTATAGTAGGATTTGATCTAGGATAATAAATTATTTGAATCAAAGATAAAGAACCAAAAAAAATTAGTGATGGAGATTATTAGTTAGGTCGGATAAACACAAACAGATATCTAACACTTTGATTAAATTAGAGTTGCATGCAGACACCTAACAAGAGAGCCAATGGTTTTACCTCTCTGAATAATCTCTTCAAAATCTTCTCTGAACTCTAAGTTTCTCAATACATATCTGATCTCAGTTATATATTATACTATAAATTATGTAGTGACACAACTTATTAGAAATCCTAAA